TGGGATTGACCGTCACATTATAACATCCCCACGGCTGAAAGGGCGAGCATGTTTGGTGTGACGGGGATTCGAACCCGCGACCCGCAGATTGCGAGTCGAGTGCCCTAACCACCTGGCCATGCAGGGCCAACTAAAACTGAATAGACATTTATTTTCATTTTCCAACTGGTTTAGTCGATAATAACTTTACTAAGCCCTAAGGTAACATAACAAAAGTAGCTTATGAAAGTTCTGTATGTGGTCGAGGGTTGAAACAGAAATTTGGTTCAAAGTATAAGGCAAAAAACAAACAAACATTTAAAACAATTTACAAACTTTTGGTCAGAACAAAATACAGTTAAACAAAAATAATCATATTATAAGCTGAATTACTCTCTATATGTAAAACAGAAGTATAACTTGTATATAAAACAACTATTCTTGAATTACTCGCTATATGTAAAACAGAAGTATAACTTGTATATAAAACAAATATTCTTGAATTACTCGCTATATGTAAAACAGAAGTATAACTTGTATATAAAACAACTATTCTTGAATTACTCTCTATATGTAAAACAGAAGTATAACTTGTATATAAAACAACTATTCATTATTTTTAAACTTAAAAATAAAATTTTCCTTATTCGAGCATCCACAAAATTATCAGACGTAAAAAAAAAAAAATCTGTTTCTGTGACATCCATGGGGCAGAAAAGTAGTTGTAAATTTATAAGTTAATTTTGGAATTTGGAGAACCTTTCGGCTTTCAAACTTTAGAGTATCCTTAGATTTGTTTAGGAAGTTGATTTACTTTTATAATGTTTAAATGCCTAACATTTTTTTCTTGTCGTATTTCGCGTAGAAGCACCAATATTAACGTAAGTTGTAAATACATTACAATAACTGAACAACTATATGAGTTTTGTCTATACTTTTCTTCATTGCCTTTAATTTGTTCGAACATCAGGTTGGCCTGTAATTTGACTTAATCAACAATGGATAAAAAACACGAGTTACTAAATTTAAAGATTAACACGCATAATATACACGCAGAAAAGATCGTTGTAGTTTTTTAAAATAAATTCCGACGTTAATCACATCATATACATCAGATATTGTATATATATACACACATACGAGTTTCCTGAGTAATTTCCTTTTAATTGGATATCCTTAGTGTTGAAACTACTCGTCAACGAAACACCAAAAAATGAACTGAGGTTGTACTTAATAACTCTCAGGAGATGTGTCAGTGTTCTGTTAATCTGTGTAATTTAATCAAAATTATGTATCTTTTATGCTCAGATCTGGCTGGCGTGGAGGAAGACTTGGCAAGTAAGAAACTAGAAGAAGATAATGATGACAGAAAAATGAAAGGTAAATCGTGTTTTCACGTTTATTCCTTGAGATTTAATCACGTGTTTCACGTAAAACTAATTTGGATTCAACGCTAATAGACAAAAGCTGCTCCATTTTCTAGATATCCTGGCTTGAAATGTTAAGCTCTATATATGTTACCTGTGAGCTACCCAACAAGTATATTAACAGTACTTAGTGTGTTTTAACGAGGGGAAACTATAGGAAAAATGTTCAAAATTCTAGTGATATCTCACAAGGATCAGTCACTTTAGGGAGTTTAGGTTAGTCCTAAACCCGTATATTTTATATTGTGAACCGTGGTGTTTGTCCGAGCGTTCGTCTATCTCTCATTTAAAAAGCTGCGCACGTACACAAAGCTCAACATTCAATTTCTAAATGAATGGAGAACAGGCATGAATAATGTTGATGCCAAATTTTATTTCGCAAGCAGGGTAGTCTACACTAAATTATTAGGAATTAATCCTACTATCGTTCACATTTCAAAATGTGACGTAACTTAAAGAATACAAATGTAGATTTACTGTATGTTATCATTGTGCGGCTCTTAGCAAGACTGAAATGCTCAACCATTACTTTTCGCGGTGGGCTGTATAAGTAGATAAGAGTTTGACTGATTAAAACCAAGAGTGCAATACAATTAACTTTTTTAAAGTCCACGAAATAATTTAAATTAACAACTTAACTTAAACTTTTCTCGTCACTGGGGACGGGTACTTTTGCTTGTTTTAAATATAGAAGAGGTTATTTTATATTCTGAGCTCAATAGTAGTAATATTCATTTTATTCGTTAATTATCAAATACATGTCCTTACAATAGGGATGAAAAATACCCATTAGTTCAAGGTGAGTATGATTGGCTTATTTCCTATGTTTCTAAATTTACAATAATTATCTTGAAATCCGAAAAACTTTCAACGCGAGCTAAATGCTCTCAATTTTTTTTACAGTACAATTACATCGGTTTTCATGATAACTGAATAATTCCATCACATACCGGCACTTAATCAAACCTGTTTATTTTTCAAACAATTCAGACAATTAACAAATTTCTAGACTTTCTACAAATAATGATATCTTATGTGTTGAAGTAAGGAATAGGCATTCAAAATATATTCTGTTAATTTCATTTCCACATCAGAAATTTTCAGTTGTCATCAAACAACCTTCCCATCCTATTTTTTAATAATGAGATGAAAACGGCAACTTGGAAAATCGTATCCATTATAATTGTGGAATATAAGTTACATAATGTGATTTTCTATAGAAATGTTTTTTATATTATTTTATTTCTGTCTGATCTTATCTAGGAAGAATAGGTAGAAAGGACTGTTTTATATTCTCATGTTAACTTTATAGAGTAAATAGACAGTTTCATTAAATTTCTCGTGTGAACTTTTCTATTGTTAAAGGATAGAATGGCTCCTTTATATACGGTATGTAAATAAATAAATAAACTGTGAATAAAACTGCTGTAAAATGTAAATATTATAGGATTGCTTACTTTCTGTTGTATAACAATGAACTGCACCAAAGTACAGTCAAGTGTTGATAGTTCAATGTGATTGGCTGTCATCCAATAAATTCGCTGTTCCGCACCAGCATAATGCCTATACTAGTAAAGGCAGTTACACTATTTCCAGCAGTAGTGTGGAGAATGCGCTCGTGACTTCAAGACAGAAATGTCGTACCATGAACGTCTAGAAATCAAGATTTTGGTCGTGAAGGCTGCGACACATTGAAGCGAAATGTCACATTTCATTAGAAATTGTGTGGAAACACTGAAGACGGTACGTGAAACTAGTGGTATTGGTAATCGAAGCAGGCAACTTAGGAACCAAATGCAATTCAAAAATATTAAGTAATTCGGAGTTTACTGTTTGCGTGATATACGAATAACCAGTACAAATCTTGCCAGTGACCTAGCTGTAAGTATAGATGTGAAAGTTACCTCAAAACAGGAAAATACACAGCATGAAATGGCCTCAATGGATGTGCAGCTGTTCAAAAACCAACGTGTGGAAAAGATGAACAAAAACAAAAGGCTGAAATGGGCACCAGATTTCAGAAAATTGGACGATAAACGCTCGAGGAGGATGCTTTTTACACACGAATTTAAATTCAAAATATTTGGCAACAATCATTGATAGTTTGTTCGTGGCAGGGCGATGAACAATATGCTTGGAACCAATACGAGTGTGGATGCATCTCAGCTAATGGTGTTGAAGATCTTCACAAAATTGATCCCACCTTGATTACTGACAGGTATAAGTCCATTTTTATTCGTCCTGTCATTCCCTCTGGAACAAGACCTGTTGAGCAAGAGCTTATCTTCTAGTAACACAGTATCCCAAGCATACAATAATTCCACTAGAAAGATACTTCGAATGAAAAAGGGACCGATGGAACACTGACAACCTAGCTTGGCTTGCACAAAGTCCCGAGATGAAATATGAGCTTATATGGAAGCTGAGAAGGTCATACGGCAGCCATACAACTTACCTGAATTGCGAAGTGTAATGTAATAACCACAGCCGCTATAAGGTCATGGTGGAACGGAATGTATCGGAACTATATTTGGCATTATTCGGCGTTTAGAAAGTAGTGGGATGTCAAGGAAAATTAATAGCCTTTGGGAAGGGCATGTTTGTTTATAGTTAAGCGCAAAGCTACACAATGGGCTATCTGTGTTCTGCCCACCACGAGTATCGAAACCCGGTTTCTAGTGTTGTAAGTCCACAGACATGCAGCTGGGATATCCTTTGTATTTAATAGTATTGGAAAAACAAAGGAATATGGTTCAATTTGGGGCAACAAGTCGTTCTCCCCAGCTGTAGCATATTGTAAGAAGTGAGAACCCATGAACACAAAGGAGAGTTGAAAAAACAGTTCACGTGCCCCAGTCAACAGCATGCGACGTAATCAAAAATGATCTTCGTCTGGAAAAGCGACACAAATCATGTGTACACAAGTAGCTTCCATAACATATCTTTCAACTGTCGCATACCCCAAGAATCAAGAGAACGAAACGGATATTAATTCTATCCTACAAGAAGACATGCCGATCTAGTCACCATAGATGTAGCTCCTATGGATTTCTGTGCGGTCGGACTATTAAAACGGATGCTAAGAAAGTTGTTACTGGAAACTAGATACATTATGGCAAGTGTTCAGGAAAGGAAGGGATGCTTTGAACATGACAGCCATAAGACAGAGCTTTTTACAATGGAAACCACATTGCAGGGCTATTGTCAAGATTCACGGTCATCAGATAGGTCACGACCTAACATGGTAACATGGACTTTAATATAAGGACGAGATAAGTTTCCATGATCGTTTTTATATAACATACTCAACCTCTGTACAGGACAGGTGAAACAATATTTCATAATTTATTGTACTAACGATACATTGATTGTTTAGTAGCAATTACCCCTTGTTTCTGATCCCTGTCAGTATATCACCTGCACTTTTCCTTATTTTTTCCAATATTTTATTTACTAATATTTTCAAGAATATATATAAATAAAATAGAATGATCTACTTTCCCAGAGGAATTAAATAGAAAGCGCCTCTTTATATTTTAATGTTAAAAATTTTGTAGGTTAAATACACAATTAATTTAAATAGTTCAGGCTATCATGTAATTATCTAAGGTAAGTTAAAAACATAATTTATCTATATTATTTCTATTGATAGAACGTGTTATTTTCTATGACTAAGTAAACTTTCCTGTGAAAGTTTCATAAATAGAATAAGTTGTTTTAAATGTTTCATTATTTTTTTGAAGTTTGACATATAGAATATTGTATTTAAATTTTATTTTATGAATTGTCTTAGGTTTCATTAGCACATTATACTGTTAAATATAAAATCTCATAGGATGTATGGATGCTTTTCTTTGTTTCATATAATTTTGCAAACATTATTTGGTTTTATATACATAGAATATTTTATTCCATTACGTTAAGTAAGTAATTTTTTTTATAGTTTTATAGATAAGGATAGTTTCAAGCTTCCTATTTAAGCTTTCGTTACTGAATGTTCCATATTGCTCATACCGTTTTTCTTGAATATATATATATAAATGTTTACATATTTTACCCCTATGTGTGAGCGTGTTAATATATATTATCTTCAAGAGAAACAAATAACGGGAAATTAGATTTAAAAATATAACCTTTTTGTTTATAGCTTTGTTTGTTAAACAGTTTCATTACTTCATAACTTTAGCAAGTGCTTGCTCTTCAATATAGAAATCTACAAAATCAAGAAAATTACTAGTTAAGTTGTATTTTAAATAGAAATAATAATTTATAACAATCATAAAAAACACAAGTGGACATTACCTTAAAGCCTATAAAATTCAACAAAACCTTCCCGTTAGAAATCAGTACTTAAAAAAATCTTCATGTTGGATTTCAAATCCAAAGCTGTTTCATAAAACTCCTCTTTCTTATTTAACGCACGTGTGATATTGGACTGTCCACTGAATTATCTTAACCTCTCAACTTTCATGCTTTAGAAAAGGTTTTAATGGAAGTTTGAAGGTGTAGAAAAACGCTCCTTAAAAAATCCATAAAAAAATATTAATCTGCTCTTTTCATTGCATATTCAAAATGAGAAAAAAACGTTAAAATGGGTCTTTAAGAACACTAAAAACGTGATAATGGTTCTATTAGAACACTAAAAACATTCAAATGACTAGAACAATTTTTTACTAACATAGCAAGGATATTGGGCACGATGTTGGTGGAGATTTATTTGAAGTCTTAGATTAGCTATTTCTCCAACATATATATATTTTTCACAAAACTGTAACTTTTCAGTCATAAATAACATCTTTAAAAGTGTAGTTATAAAATTTCTGTCTTACTGAAGAGTAAGAAAAGAACCTATGAAACCGATTAATCAACTAAGTTTGAGAGTAAGATTATATAGTTTTAAATCATGTATATGGTTTGAGTTTAGATGAATTGGACGACTTTCCATCCTGCTGTTGAATTTTCTACAGTCCGGATTGACTTCTAATACTTTATCGGAATATAAAACTGTAGTGTTTTTTGTATTATGGATATTTTATATTGATAATATTCAACATACAAACTCTCAAAAACGTATATGAGAGAGAGGGAGAGAGAGAGAAGTTTCTGGTGATACTTCTCTGTTCTTCTACGTTCCTTTGTTGGAGTACTTAAATGAAAGTTGTAGTAGCTCTATATTTCTGTGTTAACTTTCGCGATTACATCTTAAGCAGGTTTCTAGAATATGTTTCAGGATGTGATCCAGTCTATGATTAGTTTTCACCTTTAACGATTGTAGAAAAACTTCACATACCGCAAGTACGAGCCCGCTGGCGGGTAATGTCTCTCATACAACCCAGCCGACATCCCGCAGCGCTCTATTAGAGATTAGAAATGACTTAATTATCCAGCACAAACTTACCATCCAGACCAAAGCAAGTTTTTGTTACATCTTCTAAAGGGCGCGTCGAATCTTAGGTTCTATATCTAGTTTTTATTATTATCATAATATGTGTAATGCTAGTAGACGGAAGGCTGAAAGGACTTTCTGAAGATGAACAATTCTTTTAATATGATTGGGAAATGAAAACCGTGTCGAGCATTTTATTGTTTATAAGGTTCAGTACAATATTCTTAAGTGTAGTATCTGCCCCTACTTTGTTCACTGTTATTTTGATAATGTTTACCCTCCGATTCTTTCTATTTTTTGGCTAAACATAGTTGACATGGCCTGACGTCTCCAGGTTATTGATGACTTGGAGCGGCACGTTTGATGCGCTAGACACGGGAGCTTTAAGTCTCACAAGGTGATAGTAGACTGTATCTCATTCGTGTTGTTGTTTTTAACCCGCCAGGCGCCGCTCATCAATAAGATGTTTGCCAATCGCTGTGGCGTGCTTAGAGCATGCGTCGTTAATGTCCTTTCGTTTGGTGAGGTTACAGGAGAGGCAAGAGCCTACCTTAAAAAGAAATAAAAATAAGCGAGTGCAAACTCGGGTGTCCCCGTGATGAAAGGTGGTGTCGGTGAGTGTGTGAAGTAGACGGGCTTGGGGGAATGTAGCTAACTCGTTCTGCTGTGCGTGGGCTAGTTTGCCGTTCACTGGACCCAAAAGAGTTCTTATTGGGAGAAAAGGATTAACCCCCATATTCTGACCCCAATACTCAGTAGTTCTCGTGAACTTCTTCACAGCCATGTTGATAAACATGGTTCACTCGTAACGTTTCGGAATTACACGTACTTATAATAATGAAAGGAACAATCTTTAGTATAATTACTAATATAAAAATAGAATAAATAATGTTAGAAAAATTATAAAACATTCAATTAAAAAAATATTGAATAATATCAAACATGTTCCAAATTCCCTCTAACTTGTTATTTCTTGATTTATTGTTAAACCCCAACTCAACAAGCTACTCGGGTCTTTCTACCCCCAGATTAAATTCCGCATTGTCTTCAAATCGTCACTTTTTTTTTAGAGCTAAAGACATTTTACCTTTTACGTTCAAAGGTTAGATATAACTATACATGTGGTAGCTGTAAAGCCACTTACATAGGCAAGACTTCTCGCCATGAAACACATGGGAGTTTCTAGCAGAACTGAACTTAAACTTCAAACTCCACCTAACTCTCCTTTATATTCTCACAACGAATGACATTTCACTCCATTCCCTTCTATTAAAACTTCTGGATGTATTTATTCTATTATCTAATTATTTAAATAGCTCTCTCTCTCCCTTTGGAATTGAATGTTTTACAATTTTTCTAACACTATTCGTTGTATTGTTATATTAGTATTTCTTCTAACGATTGTTTAATTTGTCATTTTCATAGATTTGCTGAAAATGAAATGTGTGTAATTCCGAAACGTCCATTAATGATGTCTACAATTGTTGTCGTTACTGTACTATTTATTATTAGACTTTGTTTTCCACCAAATTTTCAGTTGTTTAGAGATCTTGATAAGGTGTTGGATTCGAACTCGCTTAACATCAAAGTGATTGTCAGAGCAAACTCCAGTTAAAGCTAAAAACTACCTGCTTGTGAATTTCCATTTGCCTCACAAATTGTAGTTCAAATTATGATTAAATTATAATGAATATCTCTGTTGAAACGAAAAGGGAAAATACACTTCTTTTAAGAACCAATAGTATGAAGTATTATATTTATACTGTTCGTTTTTGCGATGCTTGTTATTTTGTTTTATGACATATTTCATTACAATTGAAAGCTATAATTCTGTGACACTAGTTTTAGCCCTGATTTGCTTAATTATATACAAAAATAACACTTGGTTGGATTGTAAGTCAGTCTTACTGAGACTGTTGAAGATTAATACTTTATTAATGTATAGATCTATAAGAGAACGAGTAATAATTTATAGACAGTCCTTATAAAGTTGTTTTTTTACTGTATACAGCTTTAATTTAGCCGGTAAAAACCCTAGATAATATTCTCTACTACTATTACTATAAAAATATTTATGATATATAATATTCTTATGACATATTTGGCTTTGTTGTACTTTTGGGAGAAAAGAGAAAAAAAAGATTAATTTTTCTATTAGAATAAGGTTGCGAAAATTTGTCAAGTTTATTTTACAACTAAATTATAAAAATGTATATTTTTTTCCAGAGCTCACAGTTCTTCTTACTGGAAAAGCGTTGTCTCCTCCAATGCCAATAGAGGGCGCTGCAAGAGGATACTTCACATATATGAAAAGAAATCTGCATTATACAATACATTACGTTGGGTAGGAAAAATAGTGGAAATTACTATTTATCACAGTTTCTATTAATTTAAAATACAGTTTTAAAGGAAACTTTGAATTGTAATGCTGACTTTACAATATATAGAAGTACCATCACTGATATTAACTGAAATGCTCAATGTTTGGAAACAGAATGGGATGGGCAAAAAAGTAACTCGCAGCGTGTAGATGGCTTTGGAAGCGAAATGATTGGTTAATTTTAATGACAATAGGGTGTTGTATAATTCAAAAGGGCCGAACACAGCTCAATGGTTAACCTCCAGAGGTTCAGAGGCTCACGCCTCGACACCGCCAAAACAAAACAAAAACAAAAATGTAACGATCAATTCCATTAATTGATTAGAGTAGATCAAGAGCTTTCCCTCTAGTTTATAATTTCAAATTTTGGAACGGCTCTAGCGGAGCTTTGCGCGAAATTCAACAAACAACAAAAAATATGACCTAAAATATCGACAGTTTCAACTGCTTTAATAGTTTGTAAAATATACTTTTCTACAAGGTAAAAGTAAAACCCACTATTTTATCGAAATAATAGGTACTGTGCTAAATAAAGTCATATGTATATATATATATATATATATATATATAACGTCTATCACCAAGGTAAAAATGTTCAACATGATTTTCAATTTCCAGTGTCTTGCAGGTAAACGAGACCTATAATAGGGCCAAATTTAAAATTAGATTGATGGGCGGCATAAGCTTAGGCGAACCAACGACATTGGGGGAGGGCTAGCCTACCCCTGGTGGGGTCCACAGATTGTATCATATTGAGTAATCTTATGTTTTCGCCCGCTAGATTGGTTTGTTTCACGAGGGCTATCTGAGCTAGCCGTCCTTAATTTAGCAGTAAAAGACTAGAGGGAAAGCAGCTAGTCATCACCTCCCACCCACCGCCAACTCTTGGGCTACTCTTTTACCCACGAATAGTGAGATTGACCGTCACGTTATAACGCCCCCACAGGGCAAGAATGTTTGGTGGGACGGTATTCGAACCCGCGACCCGCAAATTGCGAGAAGATTGCCCTACCCACTTTGCCATGTCAAGCCTTGCTTGTTAGAACGCTAATAGCAAATAAACTGGACAACAATTTTAGTGAAATCACACGTTTTCTATTAAAATGCATAGGAAATGAGCGATAATTGGCGGAATTTTTGTTTTTGTTTAAATTATATGTTATTAGGAATCCCCGTAACCAACAAAGTTATGGACACACAAATAATTTAGTTCAAAAATATTTTGTTTAAAAAGACTGTAATTATAGGGTTAAAAGGCTTAAAACTATTGAGAAAACTGTTGAATAAGTCCCATATCAAGTTTTGTCTAATGTTATTAAATTTCATTAATGCAACATTAAGATATCAAACATATGATGTAAGCTACTTGGATGATTATATAACATTTTGCTCTAGTTGTAATTTTTTAGGCAATTTCCCCAAGTACAGTAACTAGTAAACTAGTCATAATATCTTAATTACTTATGCAACATTTGGACAGTTTCATCTTGGAGAGTGGTGGGTCAGACGAACAGCTTGTTGAGTAGAATGTTGTGTGTCAATAAATAAATGTTGTTTTTTAATTTGTTGTTGTTTGCATTTCAAATAGTATGGGCCAATCAAAGCTCACTAGCTGACAAAATTGTAATTTCACAAACACCAAGTTTGGTATGCCAGACATAATTATTCAACTGTACATGTAATGAGTAGACATTTGGTGTCAGAAGGTTAATCAGTACGTTAAATTTGAGACATTATTGGCTTGGTATAAAATGTGGTAGAGGAGGGATGAACGGAAATAAGACACAAAGTGTACATTACACAAGGGTTAGAGAACTAAAATCGAACACGACCGATTCTTTCTAGGAGTGGAAATATACACGTCACCGGAAGTGGCCCATCTTTTACATCATCAATCTTTACTTTCCACTAAGAGCAAAGGTGGAAGCGTTAGGCTTAGCTGACATGTTTATCGTTGCTAAATTTGTCCCGTGAATTCTGAAGTGTCACGCTTTTAAAACGTCAAAATTCACAGACATGCGGTTGATTTATGAAGTGTGTAAATTCCAATGTTTTTCTTCTCTTGATGTTTGTAGTTATTCTGGTGCCTTGTGTGACTCATAACTTCTAGTTCGAAAAACAGCAGTTTTCTTTAGGGTCAATCTATACTTGACTTCTGTACCATGTCAAAAGTTCCAAAGTGTCAATAACCTTAGAGTTAATTTATTGTTTTGATCCCCCAAAAATAATATTTTACTATCGTGACGTCGAGTTTTTAAGTAATTTTTGTTGAACAAAGAGTGAAATTTCTGGCTGAAAATAATTGTGCGAATTCAACTGAGTTGTGAAAATTTACCTGTTCCATCCCCCGATGACTTTCCTATAACCAAAATATTAGGTTCGATCCCAGCTAGCCCATTGTGTAGCTTTGCGTTTAAACAAAATAAACAAATAACCCATTAGAATGCTGGTACTAACTGTAGTTTGGATTAAGTAGGATTCATTAATCACGAAACAGGATACTTCAACAGTTTAAAATGATCACCTGTGTAGCATTTTAGGGAAATAATATATTTTCAGAATTACGTTGAATGTACAGATGAACCATAGAACATAGGTAAGAAGTAACAAAGATGGCAGCAAGTCTTTGCTCACTCTGATCGAAAGAAGTGGTAAATCTCGGTTATAGAAGGGGTAAGAAAGAAAGTAAAATTAGGAGTTGAAAACTAGTTAAAATATTTTTAAAATATATGTTTATGGTTGCATTTTCATTAACTAAACGTGAGATGACCTATGGTGCATTCTAGCCCTGGCTTTCAAGAGATTTGTTTTGAAGAAAAAAATTTAAAGAACAATTGTGGTTTTAAATGAAGTGGCGAATTCATATGTGTTTCTACACACATACACTTACACACACATTAAAACATTATTACTCCAGGAACTTTTTTTTTTAACCATATATTACTGCCCAACAATTCGCCCGTTAACTTTATAAGATACTCAATCTACATGCAAGAAACGTAGAGCGTTAGGTTTAGCGAGAAGCAAATATAATATATATATACCAGAGTCCCAATCAGTTCTAATTGTAATTTAATTTTCCAACCTTATTTGAGTAAGATCTTTCAATGGGTAAGAAATGAAACAAACCGAGGACCCAACTGTATTTTGCTTCGTCCACATTTAACACATTTCTGTGGAACTGTGTGTGTGAGATAGTATATAATTTTAATTTTGAATCTAGACTCGGCTAAATTTTCCTGCGACACACGACTGACTGCCCTTGTTAGCGAAGGAAGCATCACTTCCTAAAACTCGTACGAGTTGTCGAAAAAGCAAAAGTGTGAAAGTTTTGTGACCGTTCAATATACTGTCTCCACTTTATTGTACTGTTGTCATGCTTTTCCTTCACTTTTGTGTATTGCTGGTATATGTTTTTTCCCCCTTTTCCATATGCATGGTTCTGATAGCATTCCTTCAATGATTTACTTTATAAGAAGACGTTTATGTGGTTGCGTTTTCGTTCTTCAAATGTTTCTGTGTAAGTATAGTTACAACTTCCATACTACAAGCACTATTCTATGAGCACAATGCTAGGGCATTCATCGTGAGATGTACAAGATACTGAAATTATCCTCTGACTGAAGTCAATTGAAACTAGTGGCCGGCATGACTAGAATACTTCATATGAGATGTATATCCAATACTGGTATAAGTTCCTGATTGCAGTCAGTTGGTTTTATTGGTTATCATGGCTAGTGTAGTTATTTAGAGATGTACAAGATGGTGGTATTAGCTTCTGAATGATTTCAGCTGGTACTAGTAGACGTCATTGCTAGTGCTGTTATTGTGAGATATACAAGATAAAAATAACATCGTTTGAATGTAGTCAACTGGTCGTAGTCGTTATGGTTGTTGAACAGTTTCTTCCTCCTGTATGATATATTTCATGAAAACAGTCATTCTGATAGTCATGCATACCTTAATGTCCATTCATGAACATTAGTACCAACATGTATCATGTATATTAGTTATTTTCATTATGCACGACACTCGCTGTAACATCGTTAGTTGTTGTTTTTTACCACCAGACTTGTGAGGGGAGATTATCTCTTTCATGTTAAACGTGTTAAAATGCACGGTTTCTGGTCGCTGTGGTTAGTTATCATTAACATTATTCATTCAGTTAACTGAAGAATATAATTATTCCGTTACGAGACTAACACTACCTTCAACTGGGTTTATTAGACCAGTGAGTATCGGGACAACATTAAGATCCTTTAGGTGTGATGGAAACACACAGAATGATATCAAAGATATCTCGTATATTAAGATTTGATAGACGTTGTTGGGTTCGACATGAATAATTTGCACTAAATAAAAACAAACTGTGTGGTCTTTGCAGTCGTTTTATTCCTTTTCATTTCTTTTTCTTGTCATTCTTTGCTATTTCTTTCTCTAGAATGGAAAGACCAACGTGGATCCGGTTTACAGATGACCATCGTAACATTCTCGTAGAACATCAGGTGGCGGAAGTTGTTCTACACGTCAAGGACTCCAAGGTTTGTGCTACCTTTACCTTTGTTCGCTTCACTGAAATGTTAAGGAGTTAGCTAGATTTTGATTACTACATTTTCTCACTATCTAAATGCAATTATGGTTTACAGAATCCGAAACAAAACAGTTCTTATTCAATCTTGAGTTACGGTTTACTAATTACTTATCGGTATACTTTTGTTTGGTAAAGCAGTTTACATCACATAAAATGTGAGCTTAAATTTGGTTATTGTGTGGAGTTAATCGACTTTTGCTTAAAACATACTGCAAGTTTCAGATTTTTTTGTAACATGCTATTGTGAAACAAAGAAAATTAGTAAATTAAAAACAAATTCTTCTCCCAAGTAAACCTTAATGTTAGGTAAAATTCTGAATGTGATCATGTTTTTAAAACTGCCAGGTTTGCGGTGTCTGGAGAGATATTCCAAAGGTCTATCGGCGCAAGTTGATGAAAGGAAAACTCTACGTACTCTTGACAACAAAGCATCATCCAGATGGGCACGCCTTTGGTCGCTTAGTGCAAGCTAGAGAGATGAAATTCAGTGCAGGTGGGTTGTGTTTCATATCGATTGTAAATGGGATCATGAGGTTTTCAAATTGAAATGTGACAGAAGTAACGATGCGATGTATGCGAACATTGATTTTTTTTACAAGAATTTTCGAGGGGGGGGGGCTTTATTATAAGAGAGTTAAACGAAACTAGTACTATTAAAACATGGCATTGTCAATATTTATTGTTCTCAATACAAAAGTGAGTCCGTATTTATTTAACGTGGATGCCGTACTGAATTTCCTTGTTGTGCTGTGACGTCACCGCTATGATTTTGGAGACCTACGGTATATTTGGTGAGCCAAGAAACACGAACCACATGACCTATAAGCATCAGTGAATCTTGGCAGAGTCTTGACTTCCAGGCTGTCCTTGTCTGTAGCAATAACAACAAATTTTGTTAATCAATCTTCTGGTAGTAATCTTTGTAGCTTTACTTTAGAAGAGTGGTCTTAATCTGACCCAGAACAATAATCGCTTTACTCACTAGCACTTACTCTGTTCTTATGCAGAGATGACACTTGACTAAAAGCGGTTTCCTAATTGATGTTCCATCTTCGTAAGAAAAATAAAAATAAAATAAATATTTTGGTACCAGAGGGAGCTTTGGTGGTTACTTGAGATTTTAAAACCAGTTTTGGTAACAAGTTTCAGCTGTTTACTCTAAATTGTTGCTCCACATGACACAAGAGCTTTTGACGTCTTAGATTACTTGACATTAAACTGAGGATTTATAACTTGGGTTCATTCTCTTGTATAAAACCGAGATATTATCGAGACAAGATGATTTTAGTTTGGTGTAATATACGGAGCTCGCTCAAAAACAACACGCATGCGTTCCCTCGACCCCACATACCCCTCACTTCCCTATATAGCGCGCGCGCACACGAGTTTAAGTTTTTTATTGTAAACTTTAAATATTTAATTGTTTACTAAAAGAGCGTAAGGTATTATGAAATGCATTAGTCATTTTATTGATTCGGGTATAGAATATATCCATTATTTTTTATCATCACACGAACATTATAGTGTAGTTGTGATATATGTAAGTCGCTTCAGGAAATATATTTGCAATGATATTTTTACACGTGCTTTGCAGTAAACGTAGTTCTAATATGTTAGGTCGTCAAGAA